TGGGGGTTTTGTTGTGGTTTTTTTCCCCTTCCCTCCTGGAAGTTTCCTTCCTCCTTCCCTTTCTCCACCCCTTCCCCAGTCACTGCATTTCCTTCCCCCCTGTGTCTCCCCGATGAGGACTCCTGCTCCATCCCCGCTCCTGACCAGAGGACAGTGCTGCTTGCTGCCAGGCCAGGAAAGGTCACTGACAGTAATTCACTTTTCTCTCCAGAGCTGTGAATGATTTAGCGGTTTAGTCTTCCTGGCACGCTCATCAGGTAGGCAAGTCATAGGAGAGAGATGGAGGACCAAGTGATTTCAGGGCAGTGTTAGAGCTGAAGACTAGGGAAGAGCACTCTACCCGATTCCTGCTCCATCCTCTGACGGTAAGATGTTGTCCCCTGGCTTGATCTGGGGTGGTCACAGTGTTCCCTGACCCCACTCCCATGAAAGCCCAAGGTAGAGATCACTTCCTATACCCTGTTACCCTCGTGTGGCAGGGCAGCATGAGCTGTTCCACTTACTGCGGTGGAAGTGGCAGATCTATTCTTTACACCACCTTCCTGCTTCTGCACACAGATTCAGAATAAAGAGGATACAGAGAATTTCTGGAAGAGAGACCTCAAACTTCGAGAGTTGGCTTTAATTTAAATAAATTCAAATCTTATGTTTTAAAAAGAGTCAGCTAGGGGACTTCTGCTTAGCATATAGAAAATCCAGGATGATTCCCACATTTTGCGGAAAAAGTCTCAGGGCAGTGTCCATGAAAAAGACGGTAGAACATCTTTAAAGTATAAAGCCCTCGCAAGTCTCCAGAGTGTGAAGTAGGAAGATATAGAGAATAGATCTAAGTACGTGTACCTAACCTCTGCCTTTGCCTTCTAACAGATCTAACATGGGAGCAAGTGGGGGGTCTGTTGTGCTGGTCCTGTACAGTGTCTGGGCCCTCTGCTAGAACCAAATTGTCTCTTCCTGAGCCCTAGCTGTTGAAAGTTTTTTTGAGGGCATGTCACCTCTGGGGAGAACTGCCACAAGTCACATCTCCCCATTGATTGCACAGAGACCACTCTATTGCCAGTCAGCATTAATTCTTTATCTCAGTTATTTACAAAATGTTGCATAGTGAAATGGATACTGAACTGGGCCCAGTAGCAATGCCCAGTATCATCATACAAGTTGATGTTGTGTGTAGATGCTTCTGAAGTTCATATAGGTATTAAAAAGTTTCTTAAACATGTCAACTGCATAACACTGTGCTTGCCAGGTGTCAACTGATCCCCTGCCAGTTAGGCATCTCTACTCTGCCAGCTTCTCTAATAGTCACGAAATGTCTCACAGAGTGTTCAGACAATCCAGCCAAAACTTTGGTGGAAATATATTTTAGCAGGCAAAATAAAATATGTGAGACATCCGTGGTTTTTTAATCAAGTCGATTCTCAGTGCACCGAGTTCCTGTAGAACAGTAGCTTCACATCCGCGTTCCAGTGCGAGGGCTTGAAGACTTAACTCCTTCAACAGGACAGGTACTGGTAAGCAGAAGAAGCCAGAGACTGAGAAATAGTTGTGACCCAAAAGCCTCCAAAAAACAATCCAGACAAGCTTTTAGTTGTCATGAGGTTTTAGCACTTGAAATCTTTAGATGTGAATCTGTCTTGCCTATAAACCTGGCTTAGCACCGCCTGGAGTTTCCTGAGCTGGCTGGCACCTACTGGCCCATAGATCCGCCTTCTCTGTCTGATGCCACTGCTAATGAGGGTTCAGAAGTTAATTTCTGCTCCAATTCATTGGGCTCTTCAGCAGCAATAAATAAGAAAGTTTGCCTAGGCAAACCTTAATATAGTCGTGTGTTTACAGTGCAGCCACACATAAATGATCTAAGTTCAGATAATTTGGGGTTTTGTGTGTGTTCTATTTTGGTTTTATCAGTATGCTTATAGCTGGTGAATGTGTTGGTTTATTATCTAAACTAGGTCAGCGCGTTATTCTAGCTACAGAGTTGTAATATGCAGCATCACTGTAAATAGTCTAGGTATTTGGCAATATAAAGTTTCATTACAGATTTGCTTTTCTCTCAAGATAGTTTCAAGTAAAATAGAGGTGATTGATGTAATTTCCTTTACTAAATAATTGTCTGCATAGCTTACAACACCTATATGTTACTTATCTATTTGTCATATGGTGTTTTCTGCAAAATTTTATCGAATTCAAAAGCATTATAAAATGACATCAGTGCAGTAATAAATGCTGGAATAAAATGGCATCTGGACCCGAAAGTCAATAGGAACAGAATTTCCCATTATCGGAGCATACATTCAAAGCAGAAAGCTATCCTTTAATCTCTCAGCAGAGCTTATTTTAGCCTGGAGCTGTGCTTGTCTGAATGTGTTTTGTTGTTAGGTAGGAAAGGGGCATGCTGGATGAATGTAAAAGTCAGCAAGTGACTCAGCCTGGCTCCAGTGGTTTGCATGCAGCTTTTTTGTTTGTTTGTTTGTTTGAAGCGCATACATGAAAATGGAGCAGAGAATGCCCCCCACTGCAGAAGTATGATTTACGGCAAAGGCTTTTGGAACAAGTTAAGCTCTAAATACAACTGGTTTTCCTTGAGGACCTTCTACTTTTTGTCCTAATTTGACCTTTACGGGGATTGGTGACAGCTGCTCTTGACATGCAGTGTCCTGACAGATGGGAGCTGTTGTTTTGACTGGTCTCACTGCCACTACCATCGATGCCACTCGAGACATTCCATATAGAACAATTTACATAAGAAGCAGCACAGTTTTGTCTTGCGTTTACCATGTGCACTAGGAGTTTTGGGTTTGCTGCACTGTATCATGCGCTCGTTATCTTACCCTTGTGTTTCGTAACAGAAACTTAGACTAGAGATGCTGCTCGTTCAAAATGAGCATGCCTAGCACTGACTCCCCCTGGCCCACGCTGTGTGATGTTTCTGGGGCATTTATAACAGCCTTTGCGGCCGCTTCCTGGGATGCAGGAGGTAAATGTTGCTCATGTTTGGTTATCTTGTCTAACACAGCAGTCCCCTTCATCTGGTCCTCGCAGCAAATGGGGCATAAGAAGCCATCCTTTGGGTAACTTGCACATCAAAAATGTTTGCATCAGGAATTGTCTCCTCGTGTATTTACATTCAGCATATAGCAAAAGGAGACTTTGATATTGGTTTCTTGATGCTGGCAGTAGAAAAGTATATGTCTTCAAATAAATTGTTTTCTGTAAGAATCATAGTAGGATTGTTACTAGTTTACTATGTAAATAGTCTGGTCAAAGACTCTTAACATGTTTAAAAATATAAATGTGTTGTCCTGGTCTACCCTTTAGGAATTAGAACTGGTGGAGGATGTCTGGAGAGGGGAAGCACAGGACCTTCTTACCCAAATTGCACAGCTGCAGGAGGAGAATAAACAACTGATGACAAACTTGTCTCACAAAGACATTAATTTCACAGAAGAGGAATTTCAGAAGCATGAAGGCAAGTTTGATACTTCAAATTCAGTACTTGCTTTTGTTATAAAAAGCAATACTTTATCAAAATACTTTGACTGGATATTCTGGCTTTTCTTCCTATAGATTAATGTCTGTTTGGCTGAGAAGCATCTCTGAAAGTAAAGTCTAGCTTCCTGGGGTTTTTTATTTTTTTGGTGTATCACTTTTTTTTTCTTTTTAGCTTGCATCTTGCAAAAAACGTTCTTAAGCCCTCCTTATGTTTTCTAATACAAACTAATAAAATCCATTCAGCAATGTTTATTTCACACCATTAGGCGCAAAAATGAGTGCTACTGTCGATCTATTCAGGATAATAGTTTGTAAAGTAGCAAATCAAGATCTCTTTGTCTGAATTACATCAGTCTACCATATGAAGATGTTCTAGGAGAGACTGATTTTATTTCGTTTACCCGCATTTAGGGTTCCCTCACTTGTTTGGGACTTACAGCCAATTTAGAATAAGTGAAGAGATTTATAATCCAGGGAGTGGGTGAATCCTAAAGAGTTGAAACAGCCAATTTGTGGACAGCTTCTTTCTTGAGGCAGAATGAAGTTCAAGGCATAAGATTCCAACTTGCAAGTCCAGGTAGATTTCACTACAGCAACTGAAACAGTTGCCATCCTGTTTCCCAAGAGCAGGGGCAGATGAACAGATGTCTATTTGCTCTACAGTTCAAAGCACATCGTTTGAAGCTACTGGCTACCGAGTCCGTTTCATGATACTTTGCTGGGGTTTAAGATGAGGAGTTATCAAAAATGACTGTGCAGCTTTGGGGATGAGGCAGCCTTGAGCTGAGAGATGGGGCGGACAGCAGAGAATGGTAACGGCGTCACTCCAGCAGCAGAACTTTCCTGTGATGGTGAGTGAGTCTGGAAGTGTGTGGCTTTCTGAACTATTTGTACATGAACAGGACTCTGGTCCACTGCTTCAAGCCACAGCTCCGCTTTCACAGGAGGTTCTGATTATCGCTAAAGTCGTGGCTCCCTCAAAAGGCTAGCATCCTGTGTGTAGCGTGCAGAGTCACTGGCCAGTCTGAAAGCCAGACCACACAGTTGAGCCATTGCAGCTCTCCAACAAAGCATTAGGAACAAGGGGATATCCTTTTCCAGACATTAGAATTCGGGATTGCTGCAGGTGGATGAAACTCTGTCCAACACTGCAGAAGTTGCACTTGCTTCCTCCCAGAGGCCAAGTACTGCTCACTTGCCCTGGGGAGGAGTATAATGACATCTTCAAACAGTAAAAATTGTTAAACCTCTCAAGATCACCGCTTTTTTAAAACAAATGCAATGCTTTCAATTTAGGAGTCAATTAATGGCAAAGTAGCAGCTCAACATCAGCCTTACAAACTCTATGCAAAATTTCAGAATGGCAGTGATGACTCATGGACCGTGAAGACTATGACATCTTGTTATAAAAAAACAGGTTCCCCTTTGTTTTCTGGGTCTTTTTGGTTGAGTGGTTTTGGTTTTTTTTTTTCCTTCTTCCAGTGGGTATCTAGCTCACTGCAACTCGTGCTATTTAAATATAGCCATACTCTACACGTTCAGCTAGCCAAGCAAATGCCAGGCATGCTTTTCATGTTATTTTTACTGTGTCTACCCAAGTATAATAACACAAACAAAACCCATAAACCCATTCCAGAGACCAGATTCTGGGATGACTGATATTCTTTGGCCAAAATCATCAGCTTGAGTCAAATCACATTAATTTATAGCAACCCCACCTTATTATTGGGACCTATTATATCAAACCCAACACTTTTGCTTTTAGGAAATTTTGTCATTAGTGAATGGGGATAGATTTGTCTCAATCGACTTGTTTGGATAGTGTCAAAAAGCAGTCATGCTGCTTTTTTTTCAGTCTCCATCATTTATCGGATATGTATAGAGTCTACAGAGGCAGGTTTTCAAGCTAAATACTTTTTTAGCTGGACTAACTTTGACCAGACTCCAGTCTTCGTAGCTCAGCACGATTTAGTATTGTGATCATGTCTCCCCTTAGCGGCTAGCCCCTGGGATTAACAGCTTGCTGCTTATGCACCAGACAGTTAAAGGAGTTATTTTTAGCATAGGCAACAGAGGCCAGTGATCGGGGTGTGCAAGACGCTGAGATTCAATCCTTGCCAATTGATAGTCACATCAGAGTTCACAGAGACTCACTTTAGCATAACGAAGGTGTTTAAGGAGGCAGATGCAATCCTATCTAAACAGGAGCGTTCTGCACAGAGGGCATCTGCCGAGAGTCTGAGCAGACCAGGGTTATGTGAAAGGACGTGTGGCAGAATACAAAAGACACAGGAGGGGTTAGAGATGAGTCTGCAACATCCATTAATGCTACTCCTCCCAAGCTCAAACAGCACTACTTGATGGTGCTGACTGATTGGAATATTCTAGTAAAATGCCACAAGCAAACTTGACCCAACATGTGCCAAACAGGACAAGCAGGCTGCTGTTCCACTGCAGCGAGGGGAGCTGCTGTCTCAGACTGGTAATGTAGACAAGCAGCAGGATGTCAGCAGTTGTGTGAACCTCTTGTGCTCGGCTGCTGAGGAACCTACAGTTCGCTTTCAACAGCAGAGGCAAACTTCTATTCTGAATATTTAGGTAGTGGTGTAGTGCCACAGGCCCTGACTGGCACTTTGGCCTGTTGTGATAGATGTTGTCTAAACAACAGTAAACAGGTCCCTAAACGTAAACGATGTTATTTTTTTTCTGTTTCTTATCCCTTTTTAATTTTTTTTTTCCCAGCTGCTTTCCTTTCTCTTGCTCAAACAATGCTGTGATCGCAGCAATTCACAGGAAGCTGCTCATAGGCTGTGCCTAGGGAAGCCAGCTGGGTGTGCCCTTTAAGATCTTGCAGATACTAGGCTTTGAATCATTTAGAGATAATTACTTTACATTTAGGGCACTTAGTGATTTCCCTCTCCTCTTCCTCAGTGCCTGAGGAAGAATGGAGGAAGATGTGACTTTCACAAACACTACCCACCTTTCCTTTCCCCTCCTCTAGAAATAAAAAGCATAATGTAGTGACATGTGCATACAACTGAAGTCTTTTATGCTCACCAAATGTTAGGGAGAAAAAATGAGTACAGTGGGAGGAAAAGCAATCGGCACTGAAATGGTACTTTATACTTTAAATAGCACCTGCTATCTAGAGATCTCAAAGCATCTCACAAGTACTAATGAATATAGCTGCACTCGCTATTCCTAGCTCCTACACAGGTGAAACCACCAGTCTAAAGTTTCGCGGCAGTCCCTATGTACTTCAAGGCAAAGTTTTGGATTTTCTTTGTTTTTAAATACAGCTGATGCTTTAGGCCCCAGCCCTGAGACTGGCTGCAGAGGGTGGATCCAGGAACCTGTAGTGAGATTTGTAAATACAGTGGCGTATCAGACCCATATTGTGATAGGAGCGTGTGGATCTTTTCAAGGAGTTAAGTAGCAGTATGGGTCAGCATCTACTGGTCCTCCCTGGTGGGTATGAGCTGTTACCACAGTAAGGAATTAAAATTATCCTGCGAAGAACTAGAACCTAGGGTAGACAGATTATAAGGACCAGGGTCCAGAAACAGAGCAGGCAAATTTAACACAGAATTTTAAAAGATGATAATGTAATACTAGAATGTGAACACTGTGACACTCTCAGCTCTTTTCTGGGGTTTGACAGGAACATGTCCTCAGAACAAAATTCCCAGCCAGCCATGATCACCAGTCCTTTTCCCAGCAGAGTGGTTACCTGTCCTCTGCCGCACCATAGCTCCAGTCCTTTAGCAAGGAAGGACTGGAGCCGCTGTTCCCCCTGTTCGCAGTGGTATGCTTTTTATGCCTGCATGGGAGCCCACAGCTGCCACAGGAGTGCACATCCACCAAAGAGTCGCTCCCTTTCTCTCTCCCTTTTTCTCTCAGGTTTGTCTTGCTCTACTGTATTATCTACCAGTTTGAACTGTAGGTGATCTGTAAACTGGAGTTCCTAAAGGCCTGCAGACTACATTTTCTTATGGGAGCAACTTTGGATTTCTCTGATGAGGGAAGAACATAACCAGAAAGTCTGAGCTGGTGTTAGAAAGTAGAAACTTGACTGGCTGGATACATTTGACATGTACGCAGCGTATTTCTGATATGGGATGCGGGCACTGCTTTAGTCTATTGAAAAGCAAGTGGCTTTCCAGCCACCCCAGAGGGGTGGGTGAATTATCACCACTCGCAGTTCCTAAGTGGAGGAAGCTGAGGACCCTCGTAACTGAGTACTTTGCCAAAGGTAATAGAATGAGACAGCAGTAGACCCTGGATTTGAGCTCCTGCTTGGACTGGACTTCCGCCAGAGCAGCCACACACCGCCCTGGTCACAGGCTTTCATCCTCAAGCCATCCTATGGGATGTTGTGAAGCGTGATTTTTTTATATGATAGTTTAGGACCATCAAACTGCGTATCTGTGCAGTTGTCAGGAAAAGTTAGTGTAGTAGATTTATCATCTCACAGAGTTAAATCATCCAGTCTGTGTTTGCTCTGAAGAGCCCATCACTGTAGTGCCAGTTCACAATTATCTGCATAATGGCAAATAATGAAAGAATGCTTCCTGGTTTGTGATTTATGACATTTCCTAACGATTCATTGGTCAGATTTCAGTTTCATGTAATCCTTTACTTATTTTCAAACAGGATCAATGTTGGATTCTTGTCAATGTTCCAAACATCTTTCACAAGTGAAATACCATGTAGTATTTTTCTCTGAAGTACAGTTATTCTAAATATGAATTATCACAGAATGGCATGGGGAAAGGGTTGCAAAACATGAGGAGAAAATACGTGACCGTAATTCAGACCAGATTTCTGTTTTAGATTCGGCGTGCGGGTACCCTCTGAAGGTCCTGCTTCATCTCCCTTTCGCCCAACACAAAACTGGGCTTCAGCAGAAAATCATTCTAGTCCAGTGCACCTCCACTGGTTTGGATCTAGACACAGTCCGCAATAGTGACATGTTGCTTAGTTCTTGCTGAGGATTCAGATTGTCTTTTGTACAATTTTCACAGGATCTTGGCCATCTGATTCTACAGATTATATCACAGATAACCAAGCTCCCTGGGGCATGGTGCAAACACTGATGTAAAACTACTGAGGCAGAATAATGTAGCAGTGTCACTCCACTGTTACAACTGTTTCTTAGGCCTGTCAGTTCCTTTTTTAAGGGGTTTCTGTGCAGTGGCTTTACAGAGAGGATGGTGTCATCTGTGCTCCCGGTTACCCTTGAAGTAACCTTTAAAGCATCTTCCAACAGCTTCTCTGTAATTCTACCAGCAGGCAACTTCCGGAGTCCTTACCTACATATTTCTCACTGTTGTTGTTCCCAGTCTCAGCAGCTCCTGATTGTCCTTAGCTTGTTTTCTGTGTTCTTTTTTTTAACCAGGAATGTCAGAGAGAGAGCGGCAAGTCATGAAGAAGCTGAAAGAAGTGGTAGATAAACAGAGGGATGAAATCAGAGCAAAGGACCGTGAACTCGGACTTAAAAATGAGGATGTAGAGGCTGTGAGTGGCTCTTAGTCTTCCTATTTTTCTTCTTTCTCACCCATACTTCCATAGCCTGGTTTCATGTTTTAAGTTAATGGACAATTTGTAAGCAATGCCAGATTATTAGTTCAGTAACTGAAATGTCTGGCATAACTGTGGAGTGTCCAAAATGATTAGGCAGTCTTCAGTGCAGACACACACCCTCTGCTGTGTTTGGAAAGACCAGGCACACTTGGAACATGACAGGAAATCAGTGTAACAAGTGAGGAAGATGGGGGAAGGATAGGTTGTTTTGTTTGTTTCCTTAAAGACGTGATACCTCTCCCCTTTCATGGGAACAGGACAGGTAACTTTAGCTTCTTGAATCTCTCTCCTTTGGCAGTGCAAACTTCCTCAGCACCCCCATGCCTCACCCCGCACAGAGATCCCTGCCATGGGTGAGCAGGCTACTGTATATTTTACATATACTCTCTGCAGAGTTCAGCAGCAGGGACTCTGCACGTGCGCTCCTGCATCAGGGATGCAGTGTGGATTCCTCTTTGCACAGGAAAGTGCCCAGCCCAGGCCACTTACTTTTTCAGCAGTGAACAGAAGGTCGCTGAGAGGATGGGTGGCCCTGAGGACCACAGCACAAGAGATCCGGGCTTAGTCTTAGATGAATCACAGACTCCACTGTGACTGGGAATCACATGATGTCTTGGTTTTTTCTGTGTTAGGAGGAATGACCTCCTTACCCATATTTTGCTTCCTATCCTCACACTGCCTCATCTCCTCAGGCCATGGGACTTTTCTGGTGCTAGCCAGGGTGACCTAGATGATCTCTGCTCCACCCAGGGGCCTCTGGCAGGTGCTGTGGCCTTTCAAATCAGTGCTGTCTGTACGATGCCCAGCAGCTCACATCCTGCCTTACGAGAGCGCCTAAGAGCTCAAAGTACAGTGCTTATATTATAAATTGAATATTGAGGATTCGTCTGTCTTGTCTTTCTCTCTTCTATGCTGGGTTAAGATTTGATTGTGAATCCCATAAGCCACTCTATCCTTGAACTTTGCTTTTTTGAAACATAGTATCAGAAATCATGGATTTGCTTTTAGCTGGAGAATTCCCTGTGCTAGGGGAAAAATGCCTCTTTACTCTAGAAACCAATTAAATTTTGGTGATTGTAACTGTAGTAGATAATTAGATATTAAAAAAAATAATAATCTGGGGGTGGGAAGGGGGTAGAATTTTCCAGATTAAATACAACAGGCACCCACTACTTTTTCTTTAACATGATGTTTGGGACTTGGCCATCACAGATGGCGACCGAATGGATGCTGACCTATTGCATCAATGTTTTGCAGCTTCAGCAGCAACAGAACAGGTTAATGAAAATTAACCATGACCTGCGGCACCGGATCACTGTTGTTGAGGCTCAGGGGAAGGCACTGATTGAGCAGAAGGTGGAGTTAGAAGCATATCTGCAAACCAAGGAGCAGGAGATGGGCAACCTGCGAGCAGAGCTGGGGAAACTGAGAGAAAAACTGCAGGGTGAGGACAGCCAAAATGGGGAGGAAGTAAAGGTAAGAGGTGTTTTAAATCACTTTTTAAACACCCTTTTAAAAAGCTTTGGCCTTACCAAGTACCTCTTCTTTGGATAAATATGAGTGACACATATCACAGGCAATGGTGGGACCTGAGAACAGCATCTTGTGTTCAGGTGTGACATACAGAGAGCAATGTCACTCATTGCAATCACTGTGACAGGAAAGGCCCTGCTAGGGTGGATGATGACCCGGTGGAACAGACCCCTCCTTCCTAAAGGAGGGAACCGGTTGCACAGAAGGCAGAGTGGCAGCGCAGGTTGGCACCGGGATGTCTGCATTAGAGAACAGCTGTCCCCTTAGACTTGGCTACCCATTGTACATCCTAGGGATTGTAACCTTTGGGTCATACACTAGGCTGCAGAGTTCACCAGATACCGGAACAAATCATTGCTTCAAAAGAGAGCGTTCAATTAAAAACATCGCGAGGCAGTCCAAACTCTCTGGAGTATCAGATGTTAGTTTGTATTGGAGGCAGATAGTGTTCTGGTAGTGCTGTGTGAATATGTTTGGGTTCATTTTGTTTGTACACATCAACCCCTTCCCTCAAAGGAAAACAAACTGATCCCTTAACAGTCTTGGTTTTCCAAAAGATAAACAGCTGACAAGTAGCTTAAGCCTTGCCGAGTATGCAAATATGCAAGCCCTAATGGGTCCCAAAGGTGCAACACACTATGACGGGGGTGGCATGTGAACCGTAGCAGAAAAGAAATTGTGTCAGAAGGGGTCCCAGAGGCAATGCAGAACTCGGCACACTTGGTCCTCACAGTGTTTATGGCACTTCTGATCTGTCAGGACTAAGCTGGTCTATTGCTACCAAATCAACGTACAAATGTTTGAAGGCGCCTTTTAGAGGAACCAGCTTTGGCCCTATTTCTGCTTTTGTGAAGTGTTACTGGCACAAATGGTTGTGAAAAGCAAATGTTACTATTTGCATGCTCAAGTACTCACAGGAACAGGCAAAGTGACAATCTGCAAATTGAGTTGGTGCTGAGATCAGAGCAGTATGGATGCAAATGTGAGGGGAGCTTCATGAGAAAAAGATGCATCTCTCTCTTTATGGTTCCCATTATTTTTCTTTGTGCGTATGATACTACTTCTGTCTTACTAAAGCAATTTCCCTTGCCTAATGCTGCTCCTGGAAGAGTACAAAACAGGATAAGGGGTGTCATGATATGAAAGAACTCTAAAGGAGCACCATCACATTGATCTGTTTGGCTGGATGTGTCGGTAGGAGCTCCGGTACCAAGTGGCATTGTAAATGCCTGATAGACTGCGGCAGAGAGTGAAACATCTAATTCGCTTGTAGTAGGCAGGAATATACATTGAGAAACAGAGGCAAAGGCTGATGGGGTACCCTGGTCCCCCCTGGAATGTGACAGCCAGTGTTGTGTTAACACGTCACTGCTGGATTGGGCAAGCACAGTATTAATAATGAAAAGGATGATTTCATTGCTGTTAATTGAGCCAGGACACCCAGCTTTGTAAGTGGGGCTGTGGAGCCTAGGCCTGGAGCCAGCAGGAGTGAAAGTGTCTTCAGTCTCTGGAGAGAAAGGGTGCATTCTTTACCTCTCTCTAACTCACCAGTTCCATGGCAATGGCTCCTCTTCTAATTAGAGCCATTCCCCGCTCTCTTTGCCAGCATGGTGGTTAGACGGGAATTGCAGTGGCAAACAAAGCTGGAATAGCTGCATGCTCTGGGATGGATGTTGCTTGTTGGCTTCAGTCAAGTGCATTTGCATGGGCTACAGGCTGCTCAGTCTTTGCTGATTTGAGCAAAATCCAGCAAAAATAGCTTCTTTGGGCAAAGGTGTGGGCCAAATACACAACCAAAAGAGGAGGCATCAGCTCAGACCCTAATTTAGAGGGGAGAAGGAACCTCTTGTTAGGTTGCATCTATCTTTATTGTCATCTGTGGAATGAAGTGCATTTGGATGAATGGGGTGAATCAAACAACTGGACAAGCGAGCACTGCTCTGCTGCTTTGTCTTTGCAGGACAAGGACTGCAATCCCTGCTGTAGAAATTGATATTACACCAACCTTAGCCCAGCCAAGTTTAAACTGATATCAGATATCAATCAGAGACAAGGGTACACGTATATAAATGGCTCATCTAGCACTCATCTGCAATTTCTTCCACTTTGTAGCTAGATCCTGGTGCCAACACCAATCCTGCTTTTTTAATAAAGGCATTAAGGGGATATAAACTTAAGTCTCCACTTAATATGTTTACATCCAAAGGAGCATTCTCTTTTTGGGAGGAGCTGGAAGGAACTGTCATGACCTTTGCTGTGCAGTTTTTTCAGTGTTTATATAAAAGGCTGGTATTTGATTTATCTCATTGGTTAAAAGTGTGAATTCCTTAAACTGACTTGTTTATCAAAAATTGGACTATATGTTTTCAGTGGACTTTCTGGCAGTCTGGATTCCACAGGAATTTCTCCACAGGAAAACTTACTGCCTATAAGATGGCTCAGGTTGGACTCTGTGTTCAGGCCTGCTAGCAACAATTGGTGTTTGTTTGTTTTCCCAGACATGTAACTCTGAAATATTCCTGTGAGCACAGGGCTTTGATTGTAGGTCGCAACACTTGGGTCTTCCTCGTTTGCAAGCTTCCCCCAAACACCGGGTGAAGAGAGGTAAAACAGAGCTCAGATCACTTTTCGGAGGCCTCCCACCGTCTCAACAGTGCTGTGTGTGTCATCGGTCAACCTATGCACAGGAAAGAACAAAGTGATCAGATGACTGAGCTGTTCTTGCTGACAGTCTTTTAACATGAAAAACAAATTCCTTCTACTTTTTTTTTCCTCTTAAAATTGCTGTGTTTCTCTTAAAAGAGGATTTAATAGTGCTGAAAGGAAGAGGTTGGGAACTAGACTGATAAACACTTTGAAGTCCTCAGACATGCACTTGCATGATGAATTTAAAGCCCGCGTTTCACTTCCTAGGCAGAACCAAACAATGATGACTGCCTCTCAGAGTCAGAAAAGATGGCAATGGACTTAAAAGATCCGAATCGTCCAAGATTCACCTTGCAGGAGCTCCGGGATGTCCTTCATGAGAGGAATGAATTGAAATCTAAAGTGTTTTTACTTCAAGAGGAGCTTTTATATTACAAAAGGTAGGTTAGATCTCCTGTCCTGTTGCATGCTATGCACAGAGGAGCCATGGGGCAGGCCTAGAAACAATAAATGTGCTCTTAAGCAGTGTCCAACAAGTTTATATTTCTGCAAAGACTTAAAGTGGAGCTTGCAAGCATACGGCTTTACTTTGAATCTGGTTCCTCAAAATTGGGAAGAAGTCCTTCCCTAACTCTAAGATTCCCCCTGAATCTTAGAAAGATTATAAATATTTAATTCTTTTGAACTTCAAAAATGAGGATGAGTGGGTCTAAAATGAAAATTCTAGAACTTTTATTCAATGCATTCCTCTTCTCCCTCTCTTTGTCACAATGAGAAGAAATATTGAAAGGAGACCCAGTTCTAGATGCTGTCCCTTGGTTGACAGAAAAATCTTCCATTGATTTCAATGAGCTTTGAACAGATCTTTTTGCATTTCTTCATGAACAGTACTACCTCAGACTGAATTTTAGAACTTAAAGTTCTTTCATGGCTTGGGAGGGGAACATTAATTATCTTTTTTTTCTTTCTTTCAAGTGAGGAAACAGAAGAAGAAACTAGATCCCCTCAACCTACACCCATCATTCAGTCAAAACCCTCAACTCAGCCTGAATCTGGAATCAAACGACTGTAAGTAGCATATTTTCTATGGATACTGGATATAGTCTGCAAATACTAGAAATCTTATGGGTAGGACAATTTTAAAGAATTTAAAAATTAAGATAACCACATCCCTAATGTATATGGAATGGACACTGAAGGAGCACTTGACAGGTATCATGGAACAGCAGTTGGCTTTGGCCAAAACTTTTGTGTAGATCTGGGACAACTTTCAGTCTTGGATTATTTCCTGTGGCATCTTTTGCTCCCTACGTGCAGACAGCAGTAGGGGGTCCAACAGTACTCAATGCTCTTGTGTTTATGGGCCAGGCTGGTGTGCCCAAGAAGCCCACTCCAGTTCCAATGTTTCCTCCTTAGGTACACTATTCAGGCTAACCAAAAGAGCATGTGCTGTAATGTTTTATTAGAGCTGGTATGAGCTGGTTAGCTCTTAAACACAAATACCTGATCTTCTGAGAGAATTTTCATGCCTGGGCCACGTAATCATACTCCAAAGGGAGGTGTTACTAATTGTGGTCTTATCCAGAGCACCACTCAGCCTGTCCTCTGTGCCCAAAACTGAAGTCAGTGCCGGATCTCAGTGTGCAAGGATTGAAGGAGCAATGCTCCTGTTCATGTGCAAGTCTCAGTTCCTTAACACACAGATCCTAAGGTGGTGGAGTGTCAGAAACCACAGCCCCCAGATCATGCTCGGAAGAAGTGTAAAGAGAGTGTTGTTCACAAGTAAAACCAGCTGCAGACCTTTAGCAGTTGGGCCTGGAGAGCAAGGTTTCCCCATAACCCCGGTGTGCCCGTTTCCCTGTTGACCTAAGCCTTTAGACCGTGACTTGCTCTGTGTACAGCAGAAAAACCTTTTGTTGCTGAAGAAATTTTCTGGTGGAGAGGATGCCAGCTTTCTTGGCTATAAAGAACCCCATGTTCTTCTGCTGAAGTATTTAATGTTGCTGTCCGAAACCTAAGCTTACTGTCAGAGGTCTGCATTTACTAGTATATTACTTAATTATAAAATCACAGTGTTAGCCAATCCATTTGTCTGTTGGAACTCCCTCCTTGTACATTTCTGTATTCTAAATTAAGTCTTGTAACGTTATAGCAAGTCTTTGGATTTTTGTGATAGTAGAAGCTTAACTTTTTTAACTGCCTTAATGATTTTGGAATGGTCATTTGTTTCCATATAAAAAGCTCTTCCATCCCGTCCCCGTGTCCATAACCTTCAGTCCTTGTTTAATAATAGCAGCAGCCCTGTGAGAGTAAGTTCCATTGGAAGATCTGGACTGATCCAAAACACCATAAAGTCAGGAGGGCACTTTTGATTATTTTCAGTGGACTCCAGCTTCCGTCTGTGCTGCTTTGTTTGCTGAGAGAGCCCTTCCTCTCACATGACTAGAAAATACCCTTTGAGCTTGGACTTAAGTTTTCATTCTGCTACTGTGATGATGGTAATACTACTTCATCTCACAAGACCTCTGCTGTACAGCTTCTCTTTTCTTTTAAATTTATTTTAGTACTTTTTAAAGCTTATCCCGTTGTGGGGGATGGCTGGTTTCAGCTTATGCTGTTTGTGTTGATTGCAGTTTCCATGCTTGAATTATGAAGCAAAGGCAGCAAAAAAACATAAATAGATGTTGTAAGACAGAGCACATGCTGACGAGGTATTTGCTTTGACTCTGCCTTGTGCATACATGTGTAAGCAACACAGGGAGCCATGGCAGGAGGTACCTAAGTGTTTTCAAACAGTTATCTTGGTGCTTTTCTTCCTCTCAGTTAATTTATTAGTGAAAACCTGTTGAGCAACAGACCATTCAATCAATGCACATTTTCAGTCACCCATCTAATCTTTCTGTTTCTCAGATTCTGTGTTAAATTCATACAACTAAAACCACACACAATAAAACGTAAAATCATGTTGGTTTGGCCCCTTTCAGAAAAGGCAGACAGCAGAAGCACTTACTGAACCTGCTGTTAAGATTACATTACTTTCTTTAGCTGTCATGCTCGGTCCGCAGGTTTCTTTCTGCTCTCTCTTCATTTAGCCATCATATTATATAAGGGAAGATAAAACTTAAGTAACCTGAAGGATGGTAATAGTTTTCAGGTTTGTCTTATTCTTGTTACCTGTCTGGATAGAACTTGTCTAGTGTGGGTTTATTTTCTTCCCCCTCTCCTCTCTGTGTGTGTTGTCAACAGTGTACTTGTAAATAGGCTTTAAAAAGACAGGAAATTTCACTGCTGGGAAAAACAAAGAACCCCAGTGTAGCAACTGTTCTGTCCTGTTGTAACACCCCTCCTGCCCCACCTGCAGCCCCTGCCTGCTGCGGGCAGTCTCCAGAGCTCTCTTATTCCTCTCCCAGGCAGGATGCTGTCAGCATCTCGCTTGTATGGCTACCTGGGTAGCACACTGGCAGATAAACTCTCCGCACATGTGATGAAAACCTGTAATGCTGGTATCTGTGTGCAGAGTGCCTTTATGGAATGGAAGTAGGGTTGCTTTTTCTTCTGTTTCAGACTTTTCCTCCCCATTAAACAAAAAGCTGAAGTACCAAAATAGGAGGCACTGTTGCTATCCCCTCAAGACAAATTTTATGCTTGCCTGTGTAATGTGCCCTTTTTTCCTTGACCACGCAGTATCTCAGGGAATGAGACTTACATATATGTAGCCTGTGCCATCTAAGATGTGCTCGGATGATTCTGTGCTGCGTGCCCATAAAGGAGGACGGAAGTTACAGATATCAACATTTTTTTTATTCCCAGGGTTTGCACGTTTGGGGCAAACTCTGAGTTCTGATCTCTGATTGATTCCTAGGCTTGTCACTGCCACATCACATGTCAGAGTTTTGATGAAATAATGTAACCAGGAGCCTTACTGAGGAGGAAAAGTCCAAGGATTAAAAATGCTCCCTCTGTTTTGAGTAGAAAACGCCCTTTTGTTTTCTCTTTAAGGATACGTGCTTGTTTGTCACTGATGTAATGCCTGAAACAGCCATAAGTTTTCTTCCTATTCTTGCAGTCTACAAAAGCTGATGTCTCTGTCTCATTTCTGCAGCTCACGGACCATGCCACAATGTGTAAAAGTAGAAGTCCTAGCTACTGCTAATGATACAACAATGTCTGCTTGTTTGTTTTCATTTTTACTCTAAGAATAGCAGTTAGAGTGACTGTGTTGGGGAGAGCTGCATTTGATCACAAGTGAAATGTCTCTCATGATTTCAACTTAATCTTTAATTGACATTAGTCCACAGTTCAAAAAAATATTTGGCACAAGGGAGAACCTCTGAGGAGAATCCTTAGAAAAACAGAGGGTGTTCCAGGTATGGATGAAGGTGTGTCGGCAGGTTTGCGTGGGGCCGGCTGGGCACAGAGCAGCTAGCCAGCGTGCTCTCTCAGCCTCCAAGTTGCATGAATTGTATGATGCGTAGTGAAAGTGCTGAACTCTTACAAAGAAAACAGTCTTGCTGCTAGCTGGCTAGTTTCTGCTAGAGTAGTTGCAAGGTTTCAAATAAGTACTCAGCTGCCTGCAGTCAGCATCTTTCTGCATGTGAAGCAATGCAGGTTCTTTTTGAACAGATATACAGGCCCTTTAACAAAGTAGCTTGCATAGGAGGTTATTTCAAGATTTCACCTGCGATACTGGTTTTTAACTTGAACTGTAACATTTGTAAAATCTTTAACTGTAATGCTGGTCCTCCCTAACCCTGTCTTCCGTGCAAATATGCAGTAGTCACAGCAGAGCCCTGTTTTGTATTTCTTAACATACACCTTCATCCTTCATTTCATTATGTATGTGCCTGTTTGTTTCATGGGAAGAAAAATGTGCGCTCTGCTCTGCATTGCTAGAGGTGGTAATACCTTGATGAAATCCAACCCGGATCACAGGCTGCCTCACAACAGAAAAGTGGTATCTTTTAGAAATTCAAAAGCAATTTAAAACTGTTTCAATGACTGCTTTTTCTAAATAAGAGTTTTTCACTGAGGAGAGCTGTCTTGGGTGATGCAGATCCACCTCTCCCTGTAACATGTCCTGTGTGGTAATTCAAAGTAACCCCATGTATCATGTTTGCCTCTTTTCTTTTTAATGGAATGCCTTTTCTTTCCCTTGCTCCAGTCTTACTTCTTCTGTGTCTGTACTTTCCTGACCAGGATCTTTACAGCCATAATGCCCATGGTAGCAGCTGGATTGATTCCAGACGATCCCACATTGCAGCCAATAAGAAGACTTGTGTCCCTTGTAGGAATTTTTTTTTTTTAAAATGTTTGGTACTGTGGTTTCCTTTTGCATGACCCTGTGTTAACTTGCACTGCTGGTTGCATTCTCATCGGCTGCCTGTGGGATCACAGAAGAACAAAGTGCCAATCAGAATGACCAGTCAGTACACAACCCATCGTAGTCCTCCATGCTCATCCTCAACTATTGACATTTTGTCACCTTTTGCGTTAATGTTACCATGCTAAACCAATCATTACTCCTTAGAAAATTGTTGCAATATGCAATTTTAACCAGCATCTGTTAATTGTGCTTACTAAGCGTGCCTATTCACAATTCACACCAGTGCTTTTTAAGAAACCCATGTCGTTCTAATGACTTGTTACAAATCAGCTAGATTAACAGAATGTAATGGCTGCTATCTACATTAATTTCCAGTGTTAATTATAGGCTGTTGCTTCCATGTCTTTCTATCTAGGCACTGTGTATTCAGTCTCTAATTATGTATTTTGGAATAGTGTATACACTCTCAATAATCAGTTCTATCATCCCCTTCTTGGCTGTCCCTGGAAGACGTACTGATAATTGTTAATGCAAACTCTCTCTGCATTAGAACTGCTGCTTTAGTGGTCTTTGTATTTACAGCAGCAACGCAGCATTTAAATTCCCTTCCTCTCCACACAGACCCGCTCTTTCCAAACATCCTTCATGAGAGTTTTGCATTGTTTCAGAAGGAATTAGAAAAGCCTAGCCCTTCTGCTTTGTGTAGGGATTTTACAAACATATTTTTCTCTTACTTAATTTCATGATAAGTGAAAAACTACTGAACTTTGATATTTGAAACTTACTGCATAAATACAGCAGTCCTTTGTGTGAACTTCAAAATAATAGGCCTGACCACACAGGACCAAACGTGCTCAGCAGAAAGCCTCAGTGACTTAGACACTTCTCTCATCAGCTGGGATTGGATTTGGCCCTGAAAAGACATAGCATATGTGTGTGAACTTAGGAGCTCCAGTGATGAAGGTGGAAGAAAAGTATGAGGCTAATTAAGCGCAAAAGACTTATGTCACTATTAAGGCTGCACATTTGAAGCCAGGAAATGCAAAAGTTCAGGTCCTGCTAGCAACGTTAGTTATCTGGCATTGCACTTGTGTAGCTTTTTACATCACTTTCTAGTCAAGAAATATTCTTGAAATTCTTAATAACTGTCATTATGCTCACCTGCACGTACAATAGGATATTTTTTCAGGAAAGCTGCCTTAAACCTCCTCCAACACTCAAATACAGCCTCCTGTGTGACTAGAGTCATCGAAGGCAAAACTCCCGGGCGGCTTGGAGGGCTGGGATCATGGTACTGAGGGGAGGCATAAGGGAGCGTGGATGGAGGAAGAATCCCGAGGACGGTGGGGCCCGGAGGTAGGGTCAGGTTTATGCCTGGACAGATATTCCATCACCTGTCAAAGCTGAGTTTATATTTGCACAGTCTCTTCCTGTAGCAGCTTTTAGCAATTCCCGCCCTGGATCAGAACTGCATTATGCTTGGCACTGTGCAAGCAAAACAATGTTTACCTCCTGAAGTGCACCATTAAAACCAAAAGGGTATGCAGCCAGTTCCAACTTTTGGTAGCTGGAGCCACAACTTTTGCATTTCTCAGCAGACCTAAACACTGCACTAACACCTCTTGTACTGAACTCATGACGGACATTGAATTTGCTTAATCAAGTAACTTCATCCTATACAAATAAAATGATACTAAGGATTTTTCCAACTGTATTTTCTTAGCTCTGTTGTCAGCTGGCAACTTGTTGTATTAAATGGCTGTTGGTTCATGTACGTCATTATCTTAGAGCACCCAAGCTGTGTGACAGGAAATGACGTGTACTTGTGTGCATTTGTTTAGAGCCTTCATCCTGCAAACTCTTGTGCACATATGTGCATTTATTCATTTATTTTTGCGGGAATCAAGTCTGTCTATCAAAGTGTGTACACCTGGAAAAAGTGGAGGCTTATTTTCTTATCTTACGAGTTTCCCTACTGACGCCCTCAAAAACATTCTCTATTTCTGCTTCATGGTAAATTATACAGATTTAATGCCAAAGATACCACTTTACTTAGGCCAAGAAACTAACCTGTATTGTCTTGCTTCTTTATCTCAGGGCGGGGGAAGGGGGAATATATATCTAAAATGATACCTGCACCTTGTAGAGTCAACAGCATTTAGAGCTTATTTGAAGCTTCCATAGCCAAACCGCTTGAGATTGCAATGACTTCATCTCTAACAACATTTTGACATGCACTCCCATCAGGCTTCACTGCCTTGATTTTTGCAGATGCAAACAGATTTTTTTGCTCTGTGTTTTGTTGTGCTGTGTATCGTGCCGGGTGTTTGAAGTGTTTTCAAGACAGTAAACAGTCTTCTTTCTTTTCCCTCCCCTCCCTTACTCCCCCCTTCCCGGAAGGTTTAGTTTCTTCTCTCGTGATAAGAAACGTATGCAGGCATCACAGAAAAATGTCCACTTCCAGGATACTTTTGGAGAATGGTCAAATTCAAATAAAGATGACTCCTACACCGAACAAGGACAAGAAGCCCTGCAGCACCTGTGACTAAAACATTGGGGTGTTCAGTTTACCGCAGTAGATCTCGACAGCCTAGTAACAAGAAGCTTCTGTAAACAAATCCGGCAGCTCATCACTTTTATTTGCCTTGCACACCTCAGTGGCTGTGTTTCAGATGTACTCTTCAAAAGGGATCCCTCACAGTTTACTTGGTGACTGTTTGCTGCAAACAGAATCCAAGCTTTGTAGTAACAGTTGCTGATACCCTGGGACATCAAAGCTTCTAGATGACTTGTTCTGTGCTGAATAACAAGTCTATGGTCTTGTTCATGCATTAACTACAGTAACACAAGCTTCTTTAAACCAAAAAAAGGACCTGTGCCATTATTAGAAGTTTGCAGTGTACAATACCTAGCGGCAAAGACTCTTTTACCCTGTTTGTTAACACTATCGGTTGTTTGCTTTTTATTTCTGTAAGAATTTTTTCAAGAGGGATACGACAGCTGGCCACTCTCTGTGGCAGGTCTTGGCACCACTGTGTCCTGTCAAGTTCAGCTGGCATCTGCATTTTGCAGAGTAACCACTTGGAAATCCACCTGATACAAACGGATAAACTGGAGTAGCCTTCAGAGGGATAGTGAGTGTACATTTCCCTTGCTGCTTATAGTGCCTAAAGCATGGAGAAACCAATGTATGAGGTGAGCGTGCCTTGCATTTTGCCATGAGTTCTGCAGTATTAATGGAAAACAAATTGCTTTTGAGGAGGAATTCTAACACTTGAATTTTTTCCTTCTTACTAGGGACTTCCCCCTAGAGTAGGAGACAGCTGCTGTAAAGGAATCGGGTCTGTTTCCCACAGACAGGTTTTTAATTAAGTCGCACTCCACTTTTCTGTCTAGTAAGACTGCCTAACTTCAAAGTGAAAGACATCCTCAGCTAGCTGACATGAACTATTGTAACTGACTTAGAGATGACCCCAAGTCGGGAAACGTTTTCTCTGACTAGTCTAAACACTACTCAGGCAGAGCGGATGAGTTGTCTACGTGCAGGCTGCTCTGCTGGCGTTGACTGATGTTTGGGTAGCCTGCAGTTACAGGAGCTTACCTTGCCAGCAAAAGCCCAGCGCAGCTGAGCTGCCAGGAGGTGGGGTTTAGATCCGCTTTGCAGTTGAGCTTGTGAGACCTCGGTTGTACTTACAAAACCCATGACACTAAAGGCCCATGCAGTGTAACTGTTGCGTACAGTCGGGTGTCAGCACACGCCCTGCCTCTGCACCACACACTCCGCGAAGGCACCTAACCCGGCAGGAGAGGGCGAGCGTGGCCGCGGCTTCTTGCGAGGGAAGTGCTGAGGTCTTTCTGTGAACTTGGCTGCGTGCTGGGAGAGTCCACGCTGGAGCTCAGCATGGCTGGTGAGGCGTACCTAGTTATGATGAGGCTGTAGGCAACTTCTGCACATGTAGCTTCATCTGCTCTGTAAAGAGCCTCTTCTCAGGGGTGGCACTAGGAACAGGAAACAACGCTCAGGCTGGAGTAAAGCTCCAACTACTCCAGGTGCTGAATGTTGGAGGAAGTCTCAAAGGACTCCTAAGTGAGAGCAAGGCAGAGGGCTTAGGACAGGCCAGTTGTTTTTAATCCAGGGTGATCCGAGACTCTGGATTCTTTAATGTGTGCAAGCAGCAACCAGTTCTTAGCCCGTCTGTAGTGAAACTGTGCCAGGAAACCACTCCTTGCCATGGTGGGCTGAACGCTGCTCTGCTCCTGACTGTAACTGTGCTTCATTGCGAACACAGACCTTCTGCATGGTCTAGGTAGAGAAAGTGTTTCCTGTGCCTCCCTGGTGTCGCTGCAGTTCGGGGCAGGGGGTATATGTGGCCTTATATGAAAGACATCTGCACTTGAAATGGTGATGGTAGCGTCTGATGATAGTATTAGGCAGATACGCTTTTGCCTGGTTACGTTTTGGTAACATATCTTAAGTTTTATGCTTACAGAAAGCTTTATCCATAAAACAGCAGTGCTTCCCCCTTGTGTGAAAAGCAGTTCTTAAGGGGGGGGGGAGTGTCTTAATTTAATAATACTTCAGTTGCTAAGATTTTGATTGCACTTCCATAATAGAAAAAAAGTACACTACAGTTATATCAGGCAGTTAAATTGTGAATGATGCCCATCGAGTCTCTCCCTAGCAGTTTACAGTCGTTCGGCACATTTAGAAGAGACGCAGTGATCAGAAACAATGCAAAAGTGCAGCGGATGCACGGCCTGAATAAGCACATCACTCTGGAAATCAGCTGAGAGCAATGAACTGGGATAATAGAAATACGCAGACCGAACGGTTTTTCCCCAGCACCTAAGCTGGTGTATTACAAAGGAAATCTCCTGGCCTAGTGCACATAGAGCTCGTCCTGTACGCCAGAGCCCAGTGCGCTATTGCCAGGTCAAACCTGCAGCCAGTTTCAAACAACGGCACCGAGCAGTACAGCCTTCCCCCACTCATCTCTGTAGCCCATTACCTGAAAATGTAATTAGTTACCCCTGACCTGCTAGCCATTAACCACTTTGCTCCTCATTCTCATGCTAGAAATGCTGAGTTTATACACTCCAAGTGCCATCGGAAAGGATGGTGTGTAGGGGGAAGTTTGTAAAGATTTGAGGATCTGTCATATATTGGTTTTCAATGTTCAAGTAAAACCTGCTTTTAGAAAAGGGGCCAGGATGTTGTCAGGTAAGGGGTGTAACAATCCTGTCTGCAAAGTGCAGGATCACTGAAGTTTTTTGGGGGGGTTTTGTTTTGGTTTTTTTTTTGGTTGGGCAGTAAATCATTTTAACAGTTTAATAAATATTTCTGAAAAACAAGTATTTCTGCAAGACTTGTGTCCTTTTTTTTATGGAAAGTTAATACTCTGTCTTCTTGGGGATGTAGCATGTGGGTTTGTCATCTTTCCCCTGAAAGAAAGCTCGTACCACTCTTCATGGAAATAAAGCCTCAAACTGGGCAGGGTTTGGGATAGGGCTGATAAAAAAAAAAAAACAAAAAAAACAAAAAAACCCAACAACCAGTTTGAAATACATTAGCAAGTATTTATGAAGACAAAGAACACCACGGAGCCTTTTCTAGAAAGCACTGTAAGCTCCTCAATGGCAGATGTGTGTCTGTGTGCACATCCTGGCTCTGAAAAAGGAGGTGCTTTGCTCTCTGTTTTGCCCAATTCAGCTCCAACCAGCAGCAAGCTCAGTTTCCAGGACAAGATTTAAACCCTGTGCAGGTGGGACTTCACTTGCGGAGAGGAGGAGAGGACAGAGTGGGGGCAGCTGCAACCGCATTTAACCATGACACTGTCCTTCAGCCGCTGTCTGTGGACTGATCGGGAACATTAGATGTTTTCTGACCTGCTTACTGCTCTGTAGTGCACATTCCTCTAATAAAAAGGAATGACATCCTCCCATGATGTAAAAAAAAAAAAAAAAAAAGATTTCTTACTACATGCTGCTCTCCCACCTCACAGAATGAGTTAAAGACATAGTGTTACTATCTCGCCTGCCCCACTGTCTTCAAGAAAATAAAATCACTTCCCACTCGGCTTCCGGTTTAGGCCACATTTTTCAGAAGCTTAGTTTGTTGCTATTTCATTACCGTTTCTTCAACAAGTGACTCTCTCATAAAGGGCATCGGTCTTACTAAATGGGTGTGGACACCTGGCACATAAATAATTAAATATGGGGTGCTCTGGTGAGCCCTAATCCTGGCAGCCAGATGGGTATCGAATGAGGTGCGTACTCTATTTCAGTGGGATGCTTGTACATGTGGTACGTTTCTTACAGCATTCACCAGTTCAAAAATATTAATACAAATGTTTATTTTCTCTGAAGAACAATTCAGCACATATCTTAACTGCATTAGCAACCAACTACAGAGAGCTTCCAGCAGGCGGGAGTCAGGGACACAAGACAGTAACAGCTCCTTGCAAACAGACAGTAAAACCTCCTTGTTCCAGGACCGCTGCTCACAGCCCCAGGCTGAAGGCAACATCTGCAACTGAAACGTCGTGGATGTGAGAGCAGACACCATACCCCAACAACAAGGCCCTGTCACCTATCGATGCTTATCATCGTCTCTTTGTCTCTTGGCATCTCTTT